TAGATAAATAGTGGAAAGTCCAATGGAAATACATATATGGACCATAGAGAAGAAGGAGGAAAATCACTATATAACAACTGGACAGTTAGCGGTAATAGAGTGACCTCTATTGACGCTAACACCTTCCCCCTTCGGCTGAGTGAGGAGCCCAGGGCGCCTGCCCACACCGAAGCGTAGGCTGGCAGCACCATCACTACAGCCTTGAGGGTTTAGGGTAACATCTCAAGGGGTACAAACAAACAAAAAACAAAAAAAATAATGAAGAGAAAACAAATATAACAAAGGCATGGAAATCAAATAGAAAAACAAAAAAGAAAGCAAAAGAAACAGTACAATAGGGAAAACAGTGACGATTACTGTTCAATATGGGAATACTGATGAAAATGTTCTTCGTTAAATATATCAGTAGTTAATTGTTCATCAGCATGATCACGATCTTTGAGATTATTAAAGTGAATTGTAATGACATGCTTGTGAACTTCAGATAAACGTGCGTATTTGATGTTATATTGAGCAAATAATTGTTTAATATGTTTGGGTTTCCAATGAGTATCGATATTTCGTTTGATGTAGAACTGTTGTTGTTTATGTTTTAATGCATTATGACGAATTTTGTTACGACGTTTAAGAGCGTCGCGAGATCGTTGATGAGTACGAGGAGGTGGTGACTGATATTGAGATAATGCTTTAAAATGTTCAATTATACTATTATATATAATATATCGGTGATTAAAATGTAGATGCATCTGATCTGAAGCAAGATGTGATTCAGCGACGTGAAAGTCGAGAACAGTATAATGAAGATTTTTTGATAAGTCGTTAAGTTCTTCATTGTAGAGATCAATGTTGGAAGATAGTGATGATATGGATGGAAATCGGAAAGAAGGTTTGAAGCACGGAAATGTAGTAAGGATTGAAATAGTTTGTTTATGCTTCAAGTTGGGATAATGTTGATGAAGATAAGTGATTGTGTGTGCTACGTCTTGGATTACTTGAGATGCATCGAATTGACGTACAGAATTCATACCAATTAACAACAATATTGCTGATGCATTTGATAAATGTGATGATATTTCCGCTGATTGTAACAATGAATAAGCACACAAATGTGAATTATCTGTATCACACCATTTTAGGCCCGAAATGGAAACGGTAGTGATGGTGCAATATTCAGTATTAATAAGGGGATCGATATGTTTTGCATGGCTGTCAGCCAATACGAAATATGAAGGAAGTTGCGGTTGTTGATCTTCGATGGTCGAGGTGGATGTGACTGTATTGGAAGATTGATGAGGAATAATGATTTCGTGCTTCAAATGAAAAAGTAATTTTGTTGGTGCAAGAATATCATTAACAGCATATGATGTAAGAGCTGCACGAGTGTTTATTTCTTCAGTTGTGTGACCAGAATGTAGAAGAGGATCAAGTCCACAAGTCCATGCATTAAATGTTAAAGCCTTGTCAAGTGCTTCATTAAACGTATACTGAATAGCTTTTTGGAGGCTCCATTGTTCATTGTCATTTTTGTATGGATGGATTGTATCGGGACAGGTACAACGAATGTTAACTTCGTGCACTTTATCGGGAAATAAATCTTCGTCTAAATCATCGCTGTCAATGTGGCATATTAAATCAAGTTGTGGATCGGGATCAGGGTAACTTTGACGTTGTTGAGTCTTGCATGAAGAAATGTGAGGATGAGTGCGATTCCATTCATTGGTGAAGTATCGCTGAAGATTGAGTGGATGACGAATTTGTGATAAATCAAATAGGGTAAATTGTTGAAAGGGTAATAATTCTTGACTGATCTCGCCCCATGAAACAATATGATGTTGTGGGGAGAAAATATTATAGCAAAGACGTTGTATGAGTGAGAAGGTGTATGTTGATGGATGTGGCAAAAATTGAACTTCGATCAAAAGAATGGTGGTTTGATCTTGATTATGGATTGCTTGAATTTGAAGAGTTGCAGGTAATGGTTCAGAACGAAATGGAGTTGGAGGCTCTGATTCAGTATCAATTACATAAATATTAACATCTTGAATGTGGTTGATAATAGATTCAAGTGTTGAGTTTGGAGTTAAATGATGAATGAAAACAGGATTAATAGAATGAAAAGCAGGATAATGAAAAGGAGTTAATTGTTGAATTAGTTGTAAGTTCTGTCGAGCTTTTCGACCAGCTTTAAGGTATCGGGTACGTTTAGAACCTGTAAGATGTTTTGGACAATTTTCTTCGGTTCGATCAAGAAGGTGTTGGTGAGGATTTACGTTGGGTTGACGTAGTGAATGTGGGTGTGTAGATAAATGTCGATGGGGTCGTGCGGTAGAAGAGCGACGGGAGTAATCGATCAATGGACTGCTGTCATCCGAGTTACTCGGAGACTGCATGATCGGAAGTAAATGGGATTAGATAACGATATGTGTATAGTAATCCGAAATAACTGTCAAATGAGAGAAGAAGAAAGGTGCAAAGGAAGAAAGTGATACTGACTTGTAGTAAATGACGAAGATAACGGGTTGTGAAGAGTGGAATATAATAAAGGCTGTTGATGATGTAAATGGGCAGCTTGATGAAGAAAACTGCCAATGAAATATATATGTATATAGGTAAGGATATGAGTAATGGGTAAGCAGTATGGGGCCAATGTTAATTTAACTGTCTTAGTACTCTGATCAATCCAGAATAACTCTCACTACAGATTAATCATTAAGACAGAGATGAAGAAGGAGTGATGAAATTAGGTTGGTTGAGGAATTTGATGAAGAATTGCATCAAATAATAAGATATTATATGGTTGGTATAAGTATGTGAATGAAAATATTGTTGAATAGCTTAATCAATGTAAACGGGTCGTAGGTCCGCAACATGAACTTGGGATTGTATTCCTGTTTGAGTATCTTTAACAATATAAGTGGGATGATTGGTATAAATAATAATTTTTGGTATGGGAGAAAATTTTGGATCTAATTTTCCTCTAACACCGTAAATACGTGTTAAAACTTTATCACCGATATTGTAATGTGGATCGAGACGATTTTGATCATATCGATTTTTATTCATTTGCTGTTGTTGTATAATGTTATATTTTGCTGCTTGGTGATAAATACGTAAAGTTTTTTGTAATTGGGTAAAGTAATCGTTGGGTTTGGAAAATGAAAAATGTGAGGGTCGTGCATGAATAGGAAGACGGGGTTGACGGCCATGAAGTAGTTCATAAGGAGAATATTTGGTGGTTTTGTGTACACCAGAATTATATGCAAATACAACAGCTTGTAGGTATTCATCCCAATTGTTATCTTCAGTATCCTGTAACTTGGAGATTTGTGGGACGAATGTACTATTGAAACGTTCAACAATGCCATTGGTTTGAGGATGGTATGGCGTACTATATATATGATTGTATCCGATTAATTTTTGAATATTTTGCATAAGTTGGTTTTGAAAGTGGGGTCCTTGATCACTGATGATAGTACTTGGTATACCATATTTGCAAAAATATTCATTGAATAAAGCTTGAGCGGTCGTTTCTGCTGTACAATTCGGTAAGGCGATGGCGGTTATATGTCGCGTGAAGTAGTCAGTTATAACGAGTACGTACTGATTTTCACGCGGTGTTCTTTTAAGTGGGCCACAAAAGTCGATACCGATTAGTAGAAATGGACCATCAGGTGGGGGAATCGGATGGAGTTGACCGTGTCGTTTCTGGCGACTAATGTTATATTGTTGGCATGAAAGACATGATTTAATATGTTGGAAAATTGATAATTTCATTCTAGGCCACCAATAGAGATTTTTGATTTTGTTATATGTGCGATCAACGGAAAAATGTCCTCCAGTCATTGGATCGTTATGACAGGCATAAAGAAGTGATTTAATCATGGAGGATGGAAGATAAATAACATCGAAGTTAGTTTTTGAATGAGACGTATGTGTAATTAATTTACGAAGGAGATTATCTTTAAAAATGAAAGGTAAGTTATTCGGTTTTTGTTGAAGTTGACGAATAATGTTTTGTATATTGGGATCTCGAGCTTGTTCTTGTTGTAATTTATTTGTGTCAAAATAATTAGAAGAAAATTTATGTGGTATGGGTTTTGTATTTGATACATCAGTATCTGTATCTAAAGTAGTATCAGGATCAGTATGGACGAAAGCATCAACATTCGCTGTAGCTTTCACTGATTCGTTTTTATTTTTTTCGTGGACGCAATAACATTGCACTTAAAAGGTTTTGATTGGTAGACGGAGAATCCACTATCGCGGATTTACTTCCAATACCGTAATCAATATCAAATAAATCATCGTCTTGGTCGCGAGGATATCGAGATAAATAATCAGGTAAACAATTGTCACGACCATTTATATGAATAATTTTTTCAATATTATATTCTTGGATCAATTGAGAGATTCGATCGACTCGTGCATTTCGTACGGTTTTCTTCATAATATTACATAATGGACAATGATCTGTTTTGACAATAATAGATCGACCAAGTAAATATGGTCTCATACGAGCAAAACATTTGTAAATAGCCAAGGCTTCTTTTTCAATGGGACTATATTTTCGTTCACAAGGAGTCATTAATTGGGAATGATAATATAAATTTCGTAATTGACCATTGACTTCTTGTTGTAAAACACCTCCAATGCCAAAATCACTTGCATCAGTCGTTAAAATAAATGGTTGATTATCGACTGGAAAATGAAGAAATAATGGTGCAGTTGTTAGCATCTGTTTAAGTTGGTGAAATGCATTGGATTGTGCGGATGTCCATTTGAATTTACGTCGGTCATTTTTATTAAGATTTGTTACGGCGTGTATTGGTGCGGCTATAGTGGCAAAGTTTGGAATAAACTTTCTGTACCAGCTTAAAGCACCAATAAATTTGTTTGCACGAGCTAATGTGTTTGGTTCTTTAATATTGAGAATAGCTTGTATTTTTTCATTCATTGGTGTAATTCTATTCTCACTAATTGTATGTCCAAGATAATTAATTGTTGGAACCATAAGTTCACATTTTGGAGGATTAAGTACAAAATGTTTTGATGATAAAGCCGAAAAAACTTGTGCGAGATGTATCATATGTTCTTCGTAAGATCTTGAGAAGACAATGATGTCATCAAGATAAACCAGAGAAAATTGTCGGCATGGTTTCAGCGTATCGTTCATCACTTTTTGAAATGTTGGTGGTGAATTAATTAGACCCATAGGTAATACGTTGAATTGATAAAGACCAAATGGAGTAACAAATGCGGTCTTTTCACGATCAGCTTCATTAATTGGAATTTGATAAAAACCCGATTTTAAATCCAGTTTACTGAAATATTTGTAACCTTGACCAAGCTTTCTAATAGATTCTTCCATATTTGGTAATGGTGAGGAATCTTTGATGGTGATCAAGTTTAATTTTTTATAATCCACTACGAAACGATAAGAACCATCTTTTTTCTTGACAAGGATAGCAGGTGCTGCATATGGAGAATGCGATTCTTCGATTAACCCTGCTTGTAAAAATTCTTGAATAATAGCATACATTGGTTCTTCTTTATCTGGTTGTGGATATGGTTTGCAAGCTGGGGGTATATGTGGGATGGTATTAATAACGTGATGAATTGGAGTATCAGCAATATTATGTTTAGTTGTATTAAAAATTTGATGAAAACGGAATATAAGTGTGAGAAGATCATCATGATATTGTTTATGTTGTATTTTGGTAACTAATTCACGAATATCCTTATCAACCTGTGGATGTATCGGAGGAATTGTATTACAGGCAGTTGGACTTGTAATGGTATTGGTATAAGACTTATTGTGTATTGGAAAACGTTTCGAAGAGTTGTTCGAATAATGATTATTTGAAGTATCTGCGACTAAGTCAAGAGAGACTGGTTTCTCGCCAAAAGATCCGGCGGCACCACATAATTTAGTCGTAGAAATCGAAGTGTGCGAATGTTGATGTCGAATGGTATAAGAACATAAGAATCCAATACAAATGCCTTTAGTAACGTATTGTGGATAAGGAGTTGTATTAGATAATGTTATAGTAGAAAAATGATTGTAAAATTGAAGAAGTTTATGTGGAATATATAACGCACTATTTAGTGTAAAGTGTTGATGAGGAATAAATGGTGAACTAATAGAGGAAATAGGAATGGAAACTTTAGCTGTACGATTGCTATTAGGAGGAAGATGTAAAGATTTTGATAAAGTTATTGGAATAAATTGAGATGGATAATTTTGATTGATGTTCATATAGTATCGACGATCATGGATCTCGATAGAAATCAATTGATGTTTTGTGTTGATTGTGAGATTATAGCGGGTAATGTAATCCATTCCTAGAATTATATCGGTGCATAAATTTTGAGCTACATGTGCTTGAATTGTAGTTTTTTGATTTGCAAATAATATTGATAATTCAACAGTACCTAATACGTAAAAAGGTGCTAAACCATCAGCTAAAACGAATGAATGAATATGTTTTTTGACGAAATTATAATGTTGGAGTTTTTGTAATGATTTGTGGTTAATAAAGGTTGTGGTTGCTCCGGTGTCCACTAAGAGTTGTAATTTTTGATTATTAACTAATGTTGTAAGAATAATTAATGAAGGTTTTGATGGATTGTGTTTTTTATATCCGGAGGCAACGCCATCATTCGATGTCTCCGGTGCTAGAAATTTGGACAGGCAATAGCCGGATGTCCAAATTGATTACATTGAGTACAATAATTAGTAGGTGTAGATGATTGTTGTGAAGTAGGTTGTATGAAATTATCTAATGGGAGTAAACTACTAACATTATTTTGTCGTGGATTGTTATGAGAAAACGTCTTTGGACGTTGTTGAGTATTTGGTTGTTTATTATTCTTTGTATTATAAGCATTTGATGATTGTTGGTGATTAACACGAAATCGTTGTGAAGGGATAGTTGGTGAATATCGTGATGGTATAAGTGATTTCGTGGATGAAAATGTTGATTGACGGGGTTGAGATGATGAATTATATGAGGGTAATGGATATGATTTATGAAAATTATTTTTATTGTAATGAGTGGGATAATTATTATCAAATTTCTTCCAATTTTGTGGTCGTGACATCGTTGAAAAAGAATTGGAGTAATTGTGAATCATAGATGGAGGTGATGTAAATGGTAATGTAGGTGATGTAGTATTAGTGGTAGTATTAATAGTAGTATTAAGTTGAGTATTAGTACTGAGATTTGATAATTGATAAAGATCTTCAGTTTCTTTCGCATATTCGAGAAATTCTTTGGGAGTTGTAGGTTTCTTTCTACGAACTTCAAATTGAATTGTTGGTTTGGTTTTATTGAGAAGATAGCGTAATTTAGCAGATTCGCTCATAGCTGGATCAGCTTCTTTACAAAGTTTAATAACTTCATTGTAATAATTACGGATTGATTGATTTGCTCCTTGAGTATAAGCTTCTAATTTTTTAAATGCTAATTCCGCGTGATAAGATGAAGTAAATGTTCTCTTTAATTCAGATACAAATATTTCCCATGAGGTTAATGTATCTTTAATATTTTGGAACCATCGAAGTGCTTCACCTCGAAGTGAATATGATATTAAATCCAATTTATTTATATCGGAGATATGCGCTACATCAAATAAATGTTCAATATCATCTAACCATTTCATAACGTCATCTTTGCCACCTTGAAAAGTTTTTGGATTTTTTATTAAATTTTGTAATAAAGCTTTACGAACTACATTAGTTGTATCATCGGAGTATGATGTATTCGTATTAGAGCGGGTGTTAGTACAATTTAATGTTGATTGCGAGACAAGTGACTCGCCACGTATTGCAGCGGCACTAGGTTCGTTCAACTGAGTTGAATGATGTTTCGGTGGCTTTTCAGAAAAATGAGTATTATCGAAAGTATTTATAGTTGGTAAAGTTTTTTCGTCGGACGATTTAATTTGATGAGTTAAATTAGAATGTGATGAAAGAGTTTCTTGTGAATTATTAACAGTTAATTGGATGTCATTTTTATCGAAATATGATAATAAAAGTTCAGTGAAATCGTCGAAGGATTGAATATTTCGTTTATTTTTAAGATAGACTTTATGTGCTTGTCCTTTGACCAATAACGGAATTGCAGCAAAACGTAGGTTTGTTGTAATTAACGATCGGTCAAATTTATCCACGGCTTCATCCAACCAAATATTGACATCTTGTTCACCAGAAAATCGTGTGAAATTTTTAAGAATGAATAGTTCGAAATTATTTTCACCTTCATTTGTTTCATAATCAGTATTATTTTCTACCATATCATTCGACAAAATATCGTTGTTATCATTAATGTTGTTTGTTTGACTTGTTGTAGTAAGGTTAGTATTGAGTTTAAATTGTTTTTCTGTTTCTTCTAATGAAAAATTTTTATGCGATAAATTATCCGATTCATTATCCATTTCGGGTAATTTGTATAACTTTGTAGGTAAATGAGAGGAAGGTATAATTGATTTTCTACGATTTGTATGTAATGGATTCAATAAATTAGAATCCTGTTTATTGTTCGAAATAGATGTTGATAAATATGAAATGTTTTGTATGTTTGTCGGTTTATATGATGATGAATTATTTAAATGAGAAATACGATCATCATTATTCATTTAAAGATGATCAATGAATATGGGGATTATGTTTCAATTGAAAAAAAGTTTTAAATATGAAAAAGTTGCGAAAACAAACGAAAAAAAAAGAAAACAAAAATGGGCTAATGCAGACAAAAATTGCCCAACTTCTCCACCAATTGTGAGGTTCTCGTTTATGGGAATGTCTTAGACTCTTGCCCCACTCTAAGGTTAGGCCAGAAAACAATTAAATATGAAATACCCGGTCTGCAACGGGAACGAGAGATCTCACGTAAAAGTAAATAAACATTCTTACCAGACCTTGTAATGATAAATGAAGAGAATAGATTAATTAACCGGTTAATGTTTATTAATAACAATGGGAAAGATAATGATAATATAATAGAAAGGAAAGAGTAAGGTAACAAAAGGAAGAAATAATAACAACAACGATAATAACAATAATAATGGTAATAATAAGTATATCACTGGGAAAGAAGAAAAACAACAACTGGTTTTATATATGGAGAGGAAAAGGAAAAACATATATATATAAACAATGGACAATCCAATGGAACTACATATATGAACTATAGAGAGGAAAGAGGAAAGTCACTATATCACAACTGTACAGTTAGCGGTAATAGAGTGACCTCTATTGACGCTAACACCTCCCCCCTTCGCCTGAGTGAAGTGTCCTAGACGCCTGCCCACACAACCATGTAAGCTGGCAGGACCAACACCACAGTGTAGAGTGTTTGAGGTTAACATAGGAAAGGCACAAGGAAGAAATAAACAAAACAAAAAACTAACGAGTATGAAAAAGAAAACAGAACAGTAAAGAAAAGAGAAAAAACAAATAACAGTTACTGTTCAGCGTTGAAATACTGATGAAAATGGTCAGAATTAAATACGTCATCTGGTAATGATGTATCAGCAGCATCACGATCTTGTGCATTGGTAAACTGAATAGTAACAATATGATTTCGAACTTCAAGTATACGTGCAGGTTTAATAGTATGTTGTTTAAGGACTTGTTTAACATGTATAGGTTGGGACCGAACTGTCTTAAGGGACTGATCAATCCACTCTAACTCTAGCTACAGATTAATCATTAAGACAGAGGTTAAGAATAAAATGACAATAAATCGATTGAAAGTTGTTGAGATTGCATTATAAAGAAGAATAATATAGTTGAAATAATTAAATGTGTGTAGGAATTTGATATAGAGGAATTTAATCAATATAAATTGGACGAAGATCAGCAACATGAACTTGTGACTTCATGTTTGTTTGAGGATCTTGCACAATATAAATAGGATGATTAACCGAAATAATAGTTTTCGGTATTGGAGAAAATTTGGGATCTAATTTGCCACGAATACCATAAATACGAGTTAAAACTTTAGTACCAATATGGTAATGTGGATCGGGACGATTTTTATCATATCGAGCTTTATTCATATCTTGTTGGTGTATAATATTATATTTTGCTGCTCGATGATAAATGCGTAATGATTTTTGTAATTGAGTAAAGTAATCATTGGGTTTGTAAAAGGTAAAATGTGATGGTCGTGGGTGAATAGGAAGACGAGGTTGACGACCATAAAGTAATTCATATGGAGAATATTTGGTGGTTTTGTGTACGCCAGAATTATAGGCAAATACAACAGCTTGCAAATATTCATCCCAATTGTTGTCTTCGGTATCTTGAAGTTTTGAGATTTGTGAAATAAAAGTGCTGTTGAAACGTTCGACGATGCCATTTGTCTGAGGATGATATGGCGTACTGTATATGTGATTGTATCCGATTAATTTATGAATATTTTGCATCAGTTGATTTTGGAAATGTGGACCTTGATCACTGAGAATGGTACTTGGTATACCATATGTGCAAAAGTATTCATTAAATAAGGCTTGAGCGGTCGTTTCTGCTGTGCAGTTCGGTAAAGCGATGGCGGTAATATGTCGGGTGAAGTAGTCAGTTATCACAAGGACGTACTGATTTTCACGCGGTGTGGTTTTAAGTGGACCGCAATAATCGATACCGATCAGTAGAAATGGACCTTCAGGTGGTGGAATCGGATTAAGTTGACCATGTCTTTTCTGACGACTGACATTATATTGTTGACAGGCAAGACAAGATTTGATATGTTGGAAAATAGATAATTTCATTTTTGGCCACCAATAAAGATTTTTAATTTTGTGGTATGTTCGATCAAGTGAAAAATGTCCTCCAGTCATAGGATCATTATGACAAGCATATAGAAGTGACTTGATCATAGACGATGGGAGGTAAATAACCTCACGTTTAATTTGAGAATGAGGAGAGATTGGAATTGTTTTACGAAGAAGATGATCTTTGAAGATAAATGGTAAATTATCTATTTT